ATATAATCTTAATTGGTTAAGGGGTGGGAGTGGGGGGGGGGTGGATGGCCGAATTGTTAGCACGTACGTGTGCCCTGTATCATAAGATCTGTCATTGAGTCAACTGGCGTGGTTTTGATTTCCCGATTGTACATGACAAAGAGTAGATTTGCCTGTCTAACCTTGTGGGTTTTCTTCGGGTCCTTCGGTTTCCTCCCACTGCTAAAGACCCCTACGCGTAAGCCAATTATTGAAATAAAATTGAACCATATGTTAGTCCCGAAATGACCTAGTTTGTTTCGGGTAGACGTTAAACCCCATTTCTCGCTCTCTCTAATTGATTGAAATGTTTTAAGACTGAGAAACGTCACCTGTCAAACCCAACATGACAATCTACATGCTTAATTTCTTTTGACACTTTCTAAAAAAAATAAGTCTCATAGTTGACCTCATGAACCTGTACAGGTAACTCTTATTTATCTTGAGGTCAGGTAAAAATAAAAATGTATCAATGTACAAGGTATGATTATAGATAAATTCTAAAATTGCCGATCCCAAACAGTTTTTTTTAACATTATCTAAGTTATAAAGGTTTAATCCACACTAAATTCTACTAAAATTGATTATTGAACATTTAATATAGATAAAAAAATCAAATATCTTGGGTACATGTAGGTAATCTTCCAGCTTGTATTCAGTTCAATTGAAAGAGGCCCATCAAAAGATTCTACCCCAATACAGATGGTGCTAGCTTATTTATATCTTCAGATGGCGATATTATCTTAGTAAATACTGAATGTTATTGAGTTATTATTGGACATATTCAATTCAGAGACTTTAATTACATCATGTTTGATTATCTAATAATAACCATGTCTATATTAAAATTAGTATTGTGAGATATATGTGAATGATGCGATTCTTTAAATTACCATCAGGTGATTTTAATTTTCTTTCAATCCTCAATAAAATTTTATCTCTTAAAACAACTGAAAATCACAGTTCCTCTATCGCTAATTCCATTTTACAACAGATTCAATGAGGTCATTTATTGAGTACCGAACAGTTTCTGAATTTCAACAGATACAATGAGGTCATATTTATTGAGTACTGGTACTACAATGAGAAGGGAGAACAGTTTCTGAAAAGGAACTATAGAATTCCCCACCTCAGTATAATAGTAGCTTACTGTGAGAAACGACGTACCACTTTCTAGAAACAGAGTATATTGAAGTTAAGCTTGTAAGGTTGGGAGGTATAGAGAAGGCTATAGTATAAAGACTAGACTATAGATAGTGTTACTGACTAGTTTCTTTAAGACTGATGGACAGATTCACCAGTTTAATCTAACAGCTTCTACTTCCAGTGATAAACATTCTAACATCTCTAACTGTACGGATATTTAAAACTCGTTTAAGTTATGTTGGTTTTTACAGTTGTTGTTGTGTATTCTGCAAGGTGTCCGCAGACAAAACGGTGCGAGTGGTTTGGTGATTTAATACAATGAAGTGTTTTATTCAGCTGTTTTATTTCGCGGGCGTATAAAAATAAAAGAGATTTGAGGTGTCTTTGTGCATGATGAGTGTCATTGATGGCTAGCAGACGGCTTCAACTGTATATTATTGATACAATGAATGGATTGACTTCTGCTGTATTTTTTGTGATTTCTGTAAAATGGACATCCTATTGTTGAATTATTGCTTGTTGTACTATTTGTGTGTACCAGTGAATAAATGTCATTTGTTATTCATGGATTCCTATGATAATTCACTGAATATGACTGGAGTGGTCTTGTAGTTTATAACACCACCGGACGGACATCGTGTTGAAACAGCATAGATTAAATATAATTATTTGGTTCTATAATCTTATAGGTATATATTTATATATTTTATATTTTATATGTCATCTGACTTATTAGATCTTGGGGGATCACGGTGGCTAAATGGGTAAGACGCTGGCTCTCTAGCCTGGAGGTCGGGTGTTCGATCCCTGCATTGGCCGAGAAAGTTCATCCAGATTTTCCGGCGTGGTTCTCCCTTGTCAGTGATGCAGGACGGAGGGCCTGACAAGGACAGCTGTCTAGTCGTTTGGATGGGACGTAAAACTGAGGTCCCGTGTACACATTGGCGTGCATGTAAAAGTAGGCCGTAGTGCCGCTGTCCGGGCAAAATTTCCCTCATAGCACACTGTATGGCGTATGCCCATCTTCATTAGCCCAGTTCGGAGCAGAACAGTAGGACGTTAAACCCCATTTCATTTCATTTCTGACTTAGATCTTATTTTTTATCTAGGATGGGGGCGGGGGTTATGGTCTGTCATTGAGTCAAGTGGCATGGTTTCAATTCTCCAATTGTACGTGACAAGGAGTAGGACTGCCTGTCCAACCTCGTGTGTTTTCTGGGTCCTCCAGTTTCCACCCACTGCTTAAGATCCCAATGTGCAAGCGAATTATTGAAATAGAATCGAAGCATGTGTTAGTCTAGAAATGACCTAGTTTGTGGTGAGTTGATGCTAAACCCATCTCTCTTTCATCCCATCCGAACAACTAGATCACTTGTGTATTACTGACAGACTGGAGAATTCTAGGGCATCTTTCTTTGCCAACACCAGACTCGAACCCCCAGGACCTCCTCAATGTGGAGCATGTACCATACTGCAGTATCTCAACTTAAAGATCGGCACATATTTCTGTATATCAATGCCATTTAGATCTTTTTCTATGACGAGGAGCATATGTAGAACAAGTGGCATCTGGTGGTCTAGAAAGCATAAACATACCCTGCCTCATGTATGACACTAGCATAGAACTATTGTGTTTATTTTAATGTGTTCAATTACTAAATGCCATTCAAACAGTATATAACCAGTCGGCTGACAAGTAAGTGGTCTTCTATAAAGCATATGTAGGACAAGTGGTATCATGTGGTCTAGAAAGCATAAACATACCCTGCCTCATGTATGACACTAGCATAGAACTATTGTGTTTATTTTAATGTGTTCAATTACTAAATGCCATTCAAACAGCATATAACCAGTCGGCCGACAAGTAAGTGGTCTTCTATAAAGCATATGTAGGACAAGTGGTATCATGTGGTCTAGAAAGCATAAACATACCCTGCCTCATGTATGACACTAGCATATAACCAGTCGGCGGACAAGTGGCATCAGTTGTTCTAGAAAGTAAACATTCCCTGCCTTGTATATGATACATGTTACTAACTTAAACCAACACAGACACAAGTGGTATCTGATGTTCTTGAAAGTAAACATATCCTGCCACATACACAACACTGATCACTACTGATACATGTAGCTCATATCACACAGTGTCTGAATCAAAAGACATTGATTAGACAGTTTTATTAAATGGTATAAGTCATGGATGGTCAATATCCTCCCTTCACGGAGAAGTAGGACGTTAAACCCCTTGTATTATTTCATTTACATTCTGATTGTGAGTTTACGGAACTCTCAGACTATTGTATGAATATTTATATATTAGTTTGTGTTGTTTGTGTAGATGTTGAGTTATAACAAGAGGGTTAACGTGGTTCACGATATCGTTAATATAAATCACATTGGTTTATCATAGATCACAAACAAATTATCATAGGCTATAGATCTCCTTGTTAAAGGGGGGGGGGGGGTGGATCCATTCACTTGTTTATTTCTAGTTGTCTGTATAGTTGTCTTGTCCGCATCTTACAATTTTTTGTTACTTGTAGCCCAGTTCTTGTGAACTTACTAATAGAATAAAACTTGTTTATTCGATCTGAAAGTATATTAGAAACATCCCGGTAAAATACTTATAGAATAAAACACGTTTATTTTAGAAACATCCCGGTCAAATCAAATAAAGATATCTGAATCTGTTGTTATGTCTCGCAGTGAATTCAAATGTGTTAATTCTGTGGGAAAGACTCTTAGAAACCTTTTATTTTTATCTTAATTTCTGTGATGCTTTTTCAAAGGCATGGAAACATTCAGTTTTCGCAAATTCTACGCTATTCTCAAGTGTCTGGATTATCATGTCTGCCTACTTGCTAAACACTTATGTGGTAGGCGATAGTTTTGATTATCAAGTCATTCATACAACTGGACAGTGGAATTCACAATATGATGAGTTACGCAATCCCACTTTTGTTAAATATGACATATGCTCGATTTATAGATGGCCAGACAGGGTTTGAAAAAAAATATTTAGAATTAAGAGAGGTAGAAAACAACAAATTCTTGAAATGTTCTTCTTGACAATAATAAGAATAACACGATGCTGAATCAATTTAATTGACCTTGACTAGATCAAAGAAGTAATAAATCACTCGGTATAAAACATGTTTTTTTGTTTTGTATAATCCCCGAGGTCAAACACAGCATAACAGAGATTGTTGAGGACTTCCGAATGACGGATTGAGCACTGAGTCCCATCGTGTGTGTAGTCATGGTGAATACAACTGATTATTTTAGATGGAAAATTAATATTTTACCTTCAGTACCTGTATGAAGCCATGACCTTGAAGAGTGTACTATATACACCTGGAGAATGATTTTAACATCTACTCTTGGAAAATGATTTTAGTATTTTCACACACGTTTTTCTTGCATCAATCTGAAGACTCCAGTTTCATTTGTCTTCCCAAACCTTAAATAAAGAGTCTGATATCTTCACTTGGAATCAAACATAAAGATTTCAGTGTCCAAACCTTAAAGAGTGTAATGTGTTCACTTGAAATCAAACAGGAAGATTCCAGTGCCCAACCCTTTAGGAGTATAATACCTTCAAGTGCTTGGAATCAAACATGAAGATTGTCATCTATCTTCCCAAAGCCTTGAAGAATAATTTTAAATTTGTGTGTAAAGTATACTGTTTACCGCAAGTTTATCACGTACCTAACATGTATATTATAATGGATGTTTATCAGGTATATTATAATGGATGTTTATCAGGTATATTATAATGAATGTTTATCAGGTATATTATATTGGGTGTTTTTATGATGATTGTTTGTTTATTACAGATGTGAGTTATACAGGATCAAGTTCACCATATTCTTTACATCCCCAGGTAAGACATCATATTTATATTCAATACTAAATTATAGTCATGTATTACAATTTGATATCAGATATTACAATTTGATATCAAGTATTTCAATTTGATATCAAGTATATTACAATTTGATATCAATTATTACAATTTGATATCATGTATTATAGTGATGTATGAAATTAACATCACAATTTGATATCAATATTACAGTTGGATATTGACACTACAATTTGATATCAATATTACAATTGAATATTGGCATTGCAATATTATATCAATTTTACAGTTAATATTAATATTGTAATTTGATATTAATATTATAATTTGGCATGAACATTCCATTTGATATTGATCAACAAATATCAGATATACCATCCAGTATCAACATCGCCATCATGGATGTGACGCACCTACAGTATATTGCCAATCAACTTCTTATAATGTTACTGCTTATAATACAATGGGTATAATAATACATGATATTTAGCAGTACAACAATATACAGTGCTGAATGTACCATTGAAGTAGAGGTAATTGTGCAGCAAAACACGGACATAACAAACAATACAACACAGTGCAGACAGTACAATTAGATAAAATATTCCTAGAAAAGATATAATACTTGATAACTGTAGAATAAAATGAATACAGGACAAACTATACACTAGAGACAGTAGAATTAGATTTCACTTTCCTAGACTAGATATAGACCACGTAATATTGAAATGTAAAAAGCAAACTAATGAATAATTAATGCCCACTGAAATGTATAAATGTACATATGTCAATTTATAGTTTGTTCAGATGAGATTTATTGTACTGTATTAAAATCTCTGGCTTTCCGTTCCGTTCCTTTACGTATATACTCAGCAGAACTTCAAAACAAAACATAAACGATGGGTAAGACGCTGGCTTGCTAGCCTGGAGGTCTCGTGTTCGATCCCTGCATTGGTTGAGACAGTTCATCAAGATTTTCCGGAGTGGTTTCCCCTTGTCAGTGATGCAGGACGGAAAACCTGGGCAAGGACAGCTGTCTAGTTGTTCAGATGGGACAAAAAACCGAGGTCCCGTGTACACATTGGCTTGCACGTAAAAGATCTCTTGGCAGTTGGAATTCGACATAAGAGTAGGCCGTAGTGCCGCTGTCAGAGCAAATTTCCCTCATAGCACACTGTATGGCGGATGCCCGTCTTCATTAGACCAGTCGTAGTAGAACAATAGGACGTTAAACCCCATTTCATTTCATGTTTCAAAACATAAATGGTACACACTTACTCATGGCTAGATGATTATATTCCACAGTGGGAGGGGGGTTGGATGGCCGAATAGTTAGCACGCGCGCGCTGTATCATACAGTCTGTCATTGAGTCAACTGGCGGGGTTTCGATTCCCCAGTTGTACGTGACAAGGAGTAGGGTCGCCTGTCCAACATTGTGGGTTTTCTCTGGGTCCTCGGTTTCCTCCGACTGCTAAAGACCCCTACGCGCATGCGAATGATTGAAATAAAATTGAACCATGTGTTAGTCCCAAAATGACCTAGTTTGTGTCGAGTGGACGTTAAACTCCATTTCTCTCTCTCTCTCTCTCAATAGTGGGAGGTGGTTCGATGAAAGACAAAAATAATCAATATTATTTGCTACATCAATTTGATGTGAATGTCGATTTACAATCGTTCCAGGTGAAATCTGTCACATAAAAAAAAATTGATCTTTACATTTCATTGATTTGTTAAAAGTTGAAGCATTATTACGACACTCGGTGTGAAGATGTATTGTATGTTCTGTGTAAATGTTGTTTTATGAGGTTACAGGTTGGCAGCTATTGATTTTACAGTTTAACATGCCGTAGTCTATAAATTGATGATTAATGTTCAATGCAACCGATGTTTTATAACGTATTCACGTTTATTCTTTAAAAAAAAAAAAATAAAATAAAAAACAATTATTCTGTTTGACTTCACTGTCTTGATTACAGTTATACAGTTATTTTAATTATAAATGTTAAATAATCAATTGAGAATATATTAGCTTGGATTAAGGTGAGAAAAATAATTGATTCACTTTAAAAATTAAAAAAAAAACCAGTGCTGTACATGGGGGGTTGGATGGCCGAATGGTTAGCGCGTGCACGCTGTATCATAAGGTTTGTCATTGAGTCAACTGGTGTGGTTTCGAATCCCTGGTTGTACGTGACAAGGAGTAGGGTCGCCTGTCCAACCTTGTGGGTTTTTCTCCAGGTCCTCCGGTTTCCTCCCACTGCTAAAGACCCCTACGCGCAAGCGAATTATTGAAATAAAATTAAACCATATGTTAGTCCCGAAATGACCTAGTTTGTGTTGAGTGGACGTTAAACCCCATTTCTCTCTTTCTCTCTGTCTATTACGGCCAAAAATGTACGATCGGGATCAGTTGACTAATTGTGATATATATGTATATATTGATTAGTGTGTCCAGATAACGACTGCTAAAATATTTCTTCATCTTGGTACTACTCCAAAATAAGCAATGTATATTCAACCATCGTTCATATGATACCCCAGGCGTTGATGTTTATTACCGATATTACAGTACATTTCCGTGATTAATCTACGCTGCCAATAAACCACCACATGCTTGATTATATATTGAATATTGAATATACGTCAGTAGTTAACGGAATTTTTATCTGGTACCGGTTCCACTCACAAAATATGGAGATAAGGCCTTGAAATTAATGAAAGTATGTACAAATTTTATTTTGGTAGTATTTTTAACATCATAAGGTCTGTCATTGAGTCAACTGGCGTTGTTTCGATTCCCCAGTTGTACGGAACAAGGAGTAGGGTCGCCTGTCCAACCTTGTGGGTTTTCTCCGGGTCCTCCCAATGCTAAAGACCCTTGCGTAAGCGAATTATTGAAATAAATTGAACCATATGTTAGTCCCGAAATGATCTAGTTTGTGTTGAGCGGACGATAAACCCGATTTCTCTCTCTCTCGTTAATATGGAGAAAAAATAGCATATGTCTTTTGAAATAATTTCAGGTAATTAATCATCTTGTAATTATCACGGGTCAGTGGTGCAGGACAGAGGGCCTGACAAGGACAACTGTCTAGTTGTTCAGATGGGATGAAAAACCGAGGTCCCATGTACACATTGATGTGCACGTAAGTGATCTCTTGGCAGTTGGAATTTGAAATAAGAGCAGACCATAGTGCTGCTATTCTATCAGGGCAAAATTTCCTTCATATCACACAGCATGGCATATGCCCGTCTTCATTAGCCCAGTCGGAGCAGAACAGTTGGACGTTAAACCCCATTTTGTTTCATGTTGGTAAATATGAATAAATGCTATTTTATATGTGAGTGTTTCAAATGTTCATGTGATTGGGATTAGATTATCTGAAAAGAAACGATTGGAAAAAAAACAATCCCGTTAAAATTCCAGGTGTGGTGATCAACACATGAACAAGAGATTATTTTGTCCAACAGGTGAAAAAAATGTGTCGTTAAAAATTCTTCTGTAACTGTGTGCATAGTACTAAATGTATAAATGGTTTAAAACCTATTTTAAATTTACTTCATATATTCATTTTGGTATGCAAAGAAAACCTTTGATCTTTTAAAGCGATTTTTTAAATTTAGACCGTCATACTGTACCCTGATAAGCTTTTGTCATACTAACATACCGAATGGATGCAGACCACCAAATATCACACTCCAAATGGTTCGTTCGATTTTTAGTCTTTTTCTCCCTTTCTCTCCGTTTCTCTTTGTGCCGGTTTTGCATGATGATTTCTGTTGGCATTTTGGTGTAGAATGGAGAAAATGGGTTTGAATATGCGTTAATATATTTTTTACCTATTAGTTTATCAAGGACTGTGATAGGGATGTTTTATTTGTTGGTAGTTTTTACTTGTATAATACCTGGTATAATTGTTACCTGTATAAACCAAGTTTTTACCTGTGTATGCATAGAGGATTATGTATTATCTTTACCTGTATAAAGTTTTTACCTGTAATGTCAGTGTGACTTATTACATCACCATCTGTTTACTGTCTCACCTGTGTAACATCAGGCTTTCTCCAAAAATACAACAAAACGGATAGTCATATATATTTACAAATAAAAATACAAAACTAATTTGTTATCCATTAAAACTTTGTTGAATAAGTATTGGTATCAGGTGTTCTAGAAAAGAGTAAGTATACCCTGCCACATGCACAGCACATGTTATAACTCCCATATATTACCTGCCTACTGTACAGATGTTAATAGTCATTCTAGAGAGAGAGAGATGGGGTTTAACCTCCAATCGACACAAACTAGGTCATTTCGGGACTAACATATGGTTTAATTCTATTTCAATAATTCGCTTGCCCGTAAGGGTCTTTAACAGTGGAAGGAAACCAGAGAACTCTGAGAATATCCACAAAATTGGACAGGCAACTCTACTCCTTGCCACTTACAACTGTGAAATCAAAACCACACATGCTGACTCAATGACAGACTTCATGATACAAAGCACACATGCTAACCATTCAACAATCCAACATCCTAATCAGTCCAGAAGGAGTAAGTATGCACTGCTTTGTGTACAACATCCATCTATACTTTTAGCTAATAAGAGAAGCAGTGGATATGCACTCCGGGTTGATGTGGATAAAAGTATGTCATTGTAGTTTACGAGAATATATATACAGGTTCTGTATCTCTGGGAATCACAAGTAACAGAGTAACAAGAAACCAGTTTTTAAACAAGCTTATATATTTATATACCCTGTAGATTATCAAATATATTTACACTTGAATACAAACATTTTAATTTCATCTATATATTCCAAGACATGTGTGACCTAGTAAAGATAGTGATTTGAATTGTAAAATCTTTCGTTGTGTCAGATTTGATTGTAATTTCTATAAAACTACAATGATGATATAATGGATGGCCAGTACCAATGAGTGACTAGTTTTGTAAGTATTCAGCTCTTCAGACTGATTGGTCTCCTGTTACAGGCTTCTAAATAATTACTTCTA